TATGGAAGGAGAAGGTTTCAAGTATGCTTCGGTAGCATGAAAATCTGAAGTCAAAGAAGCAGTCTGGGGAAGTTTAGAAGCAGAGCATGCATGCGGATCGGTGGCGTAATGCTTCTTCTTGATGGGCAAGCGGGAAGATTTCCTCATATATGCAGGGGCTGAGGGTCGGCCATGTGAGGGATAACCACTTTCAGCAGTATGTGTCTCGGGAGAGACAACGAATGCGGAACGAGGGGAGGAATGGTCGATGTCTCTGACGGTAGAGTTGGGACAATGTGAAGGATTGTCATAGAAATGAGTAAAACTGGAGGGGCGTGAGTTAAGGTAGTGGAATATGCAGACGGAGGCGATCTCTAGAGAAACATTTGAAGAGGGCTCACTTGCGATACGTTGGCGAGTACTATAATGGAAAGTATTGGAAAAGATACAAGATTAATCCAAATTAGGCAGATAAGTATAGACTGGAAATTCATTAATGCATTAACCTCTCGGGTCACGTAGCCCAGAGGTAAGACCTGTGACAATGTCCTGAGATCGAACTCTGCTAAGGGATATAATGGGAGCCTAAAGCCAAGTGCAGTCGATCTTGAAGTATAACTCATGTTCCCTCATATAGGTAGCTGAAATATTTGATTACTCCTATAAGGTTAAAGAAGACCGCGATCAATCAGAAGGCCATACCATTTTGGTCTTCTTATATACGATTTATAGCCAATACGATTGAGCCAACCAAAGCAAAGGAATGCCCCATTGAAATTACAAAGTAAGGTGTATATAAAAGTGACTATGGTTTTAGCCGGACACCTTTACTCTTGCCTTAGTATATTTATCTTTCGTAAAATGTGGATTCCTGTTCTGATGTCCGTCACAGCACAAACGAAAGTTTTGCACGGGTTCATCAAGGTCGCAGGACGGTGAGCTGAATTTATCGCACAAAATGGAAATCCTCTTCCTGTTTCCCATGAAAGCACATCACGAATTCCTTCCAATCAACTGTTCATTCGAAATGGAAGGTCATAATTTGCGCTAAATTCTTCTATCTTCTTTTATATCATCAAAATATAACTTGTCTATGAGATAGTCATAAGAAAATATTTTTGTTATTCTGGATTCCTAATGAAAGTGGTGAAAGAAGTTCCAGGCATCTTAAGGTTTTAAAGATAACTATCAATGAGTAAAGATATCAAAACACAATATATACCCACTAAATACCAAGATCTGAAACTACGACCAAATATATTATTGTAGAAAAACAGGTTTTAGAAGAAACCTTTTAGTAGATTGATGTTGAAGTACCTTTCATTTAGTTTGAAGAGGGATTTGTATGTTGGTTCCACCAGAAGCTGTCTTGGAGCAGTAATTTTAGATTTGTGCAATGCTACGAGGTGTCTCGTTAAATGGACGTAGCTAAGCTATAAAAAGTAGGTATGTTTGCAGCTGGCCACTTTTCTTGTATTTGTGCTTTTTGAATTGTGGTAAAGCATGGTGCCTTGTTCTAAAGATTTTCGTCAAATGACGGATGAAAGCTCAACAAGAATTCATCGGGCCCACGGGGCAGTGCGCAGAGGACTTATTAACACAGATATACAATCACAGCTCCAATACAACTTCTTGTGATGCCAACTTACGTATCCCTTCCACTCGCCTCTTCAACCGAAATAAAAGTTAGTACAACACCAATGGTGTTGGTCTGACCTTGTTTTTACAACTTGGTCAGAGCTACAAGGAGACCTTGTGGAACGTAACTAGTTCTGTGTCCTCTGCTATATTATTAAGGAGAATTTCCAGCATCAAACCGTTCACTTGGTACAGTCCTAGACGTTTTGCCGGCATCGTCAGTAAGAGGCTTATTAAAGTTATAGATCGAAACCATTTCGCATGAAATTGGTA